GTAACCAAATTTGCACTGGGACTGACTTTTCAACTTTTGGAACTGCTACTAACAAATACTTTTCTATATATGAGCAGTTTTGCAGAAAACACTTTCCAGCATGTAGTTTCCTCGAGCTTACCATGGATTTCCCTGTTAGGAGGAAACTTTCAAGGGAATTTAGGTACAATTCTCCAGAGCTAACCAGGAACCTGGCTGTTGATTTAATAAAAAATAAAAGTTAATTAAGCTTACAAAAACTTAGTTCCCAGGTAGACTACTTTTCCCTAGAATGGATGAAATACTTTTACAGAAAAGTACATGTTTTTCCTCCTTTCCATTGCATGTAACCAGATCATATTCATTATTGTTTGTTATTTGTTTCAAATATTTAAAGTTCATTGTATAGTGTTTCTCTCTTTATATTCTTAAACTAATTAAATAAAAAAATGCATTATAATATGTAGTCAGATTGCCATATTTGTCTAACTAACTTCTGATAAAAACGTAAACTGGTAATAATCCATTGTTATTACGTTTGTAAAACAAGTTCTGAGATATCTCCTACAAATAAAAATTAATGTACGACCCTAAAGTTTTTGGTGTCTGATGTTACGTTGAAATATTCAGCAGTGGACTTATATTTTTAAGGTCAGGTCAGCGTATTTCCGGTAGTCTTCCCGCTAACTTGACACAGCCAATGGGGAGTCGTGACGTAGCGCCCCAGTACTGCGCCGCTCGAGCTGATGCTGCAGTTGCTAGGGGCGCGAGGAGCAGACGGCGAGGAGGTGAGAAAAACAAGGGCGGGGAGACAAATGTCTCCATCTAGTGTCTGCCTTAGGGAGAGTAGTTCGATAGACACCGAGGAATGTTGTCGACGGAAAAATAGCTAAAAATAATCCCGAAGAGCCTTGGTCATTTTTTAAAAAAAGGAAGCCTATATGGCAGGCCGTATGACATTTATTAGAAGCGCCGTTTCCTTCTATTGTTCCATTTGTTGATCTCTAAAATAAGATTCTTCCATGTCAAAACTACATTCCTGCTAGCCAGAAATGTAGATATACATATCCTAAATGTCATTTAGGATATGTATACGATATCCTAATATCATAAATTTTAAGTGGCCCTTTTGATATTTATTAGCTTGACTGAATATATATTTCAGATGTCTCAAATGCATTTCTAATAATGCAATTTCTAATAATAAATGTCATAATAAATGTCAAACGGCCTGCCATACCCATCGGAGAAAGAAGAAACTACTTTTACCGTTAGGAAAAACAAACATGGCTGCCAAAATATGTCGGATTCGAAATTAAATTTACCCTGCTATGGAATATTTGAACCCTAAACAATTAAATATCTTTTGTCAAAATTGCAACTTTAAACTAATAGTAATATCAAAGATATTCGGAGAAAAACAAACAAAAAGGATGAACAAAAATCATGATTTATCCTATTTTTGGGGGGCAGCTGTGTTTAATTAGTCTAGCCAAGCATGTCCCATGTTCTGCTTCTAGCAGCTTCTTTAAGTAATTCGGCAAAAAAAAATGAAGCTCACATATAAATTAACATATATACATTTACATTTAAAGTTTTTCTACTTATATTAGTGTTTTAAAATAGTTAATGACAGTATTCATATGGAGGATAAGCCAGAACATGTCCCTGTCAGATGGGAAGCCTGTTTCCTTGAGCAGGGGTGGAGCTAGATGGGGGGCCAGGGGTGGCCATGGTCACCCTCACCTTTTTTTTTTGCCTTCTAATTCAGATGGTGGCAGCTGTAATACTCTCAAGAGGAATGTTCAAACTTGTTAAACATTTGAATTTTTTAATATATTAACTACTTGACAACTAAACGTTGTGTTTATGCACATCAAAATAGTAACATTAAAGTTGATAGGTACAGAATTCATGCTCAGAACTAGATTTTTGTGTTATAAAAAGAGACAATTATAGGAGTCTTCAGTTAAATCATAGATAACTACTTTAATTATAACTTGAAAATCAATTTAATGTAGATATTAGTACATATAAATTGTATGCAGAACAATTTTTGGTAAAAGTAGGTAAGTAATGACAATGAAGATGTTCGCCCCAGAAGTTTTGTCCACTACACCTTTAATCTAGAAAGCACGGATGTTGAAATATATGTGCCCATTTGTTAGGAAAGGCTGTAGGAAAGTATAGTTTTAGTCTTTATTTAGAAAATATGGGTATTATGCCCGTTCCTGTTGGAGCAGTATAGATTGACCCTGAGGTTCTAGGGCCTATTCGCTTTCAGCCACCACTCAGCGTACACTGGTTATGGCACGGCCACCCTTATTGAAATTTTCTGGCTACGCCTCTGTCCTCGAGTGCTGTATCCAGGCATGTTATTGGAAAATTGAGCAAAAGAGAAAAAAATAAAGCTAAAGAAAACAATAGTACAGCCTTAACTACACTCAGTGCTTGGTTATGACCAAATTTAGTGTTTTTTTTCCAATGGGAAACAGAACACACAAAAAAAAAGGTTGACATTTCATAGTTTGTGCAACCTTCATTTTTAAATCACTATTAAGTAAAACTGTCAAGGTGAAAATAAAATTGTTTCCAATGAACAATCAGTTTCTATGCCAGTGCATTACCAGAAAAAATAATGATTTATCCCTTCAATACAGGGTCGATTGTAGGGGCCATTGCTGCAGGGGCAATGGCTGCCGTCTAGAACTGTCCATGAACACACTACAATTTAATCCTGCATAGGATATAAACGTACTATAGAGACCCACATAAATATACTGTGTACACACAACCACTTAGTAATTATTAGTACATATTACAAATTGCACTAATATTTTTGGGCTCACTTTTTGCATAAAGCCTCACATTATGTGTTACATTTTCGTTAATAGATTTTTTTTTCCTAGCATATTTTTTGATTCTTCCACCAAAGTTCCCATTAAAATGCTTTGACACTACTTTAGGCAGCCATTCACATGGTATACACAGGTTTATACTAATAATTCACGTGAGCTTCACATTTTAAATCAATTTGCATTGAAGTAATTTACTAATACTTAATTTTTTTTATTCATAAACAAAAGCATCTCAATAAATGTAAGATTAGGATATATATAGGAAAGTTTTGTCTGACTTTAAGCATTTAATGCTCTCATTTTCTTCTTATAACCCAGAAAAAGTCCATATCCTCTAAAGCCAAGCATTATTTCATACATTTATTGATATTTTCTTTCATAATGACTTGAAAGTGTGTACAGAAACGGTACCAAGCAGACCCATAGCAATGGAAACCATTGAATGCACATTTCTTAAAAAAAAAAAAAAAAAAAAGGAAATATCAATCCAATACACATAGCTTTTTTTTTAATAGAAATTACAGATTACAAAAACATAAATGAGATCCTGTCATTGGCGTCCTGACAAACAAAGGGGATGAGAAGGTTTAAGCTCGCCTGTACAGGCCGACACGGCTCTACATATGATACTAGCGGACAAAGAGCGACAGCACACCCACACACACACTGAATCAGTCATTCCAACAACAGAGGATCAGAACGAGAAGCAGAAATATTATCCAGCGTGCTTCTGTGCGCGTCCGTTTTAAGTTTCTGATTTCAAACAGCAGAATCTGGGCTTTGTAGTGTTTCAGTCGGTCCACAGTGAGGTCAGTTGACGTACCAGGGTGCTCCATAGGTTTGATTGCAGTGAGAACAAACATTTCCAGTCAGCTTGGGTCGATTGTAACCGTTTGCGTCCCCCCCTCCTTTAAAGTCGGCTCAGAGTCGAAGGAAAGGAGAGGATTGTCATCCGTTTTCTCCTCTTGAGCTCATGGGGACGGAGATAAACTCAGATTGTTAACATGAAGCAACACAAAAAAAAAAAAGATTGTGACGAGTCATAAGTGCAACAAAGATTAATGTATCAAAATATAGATGAAATTAAAAAAAAATGGAAGCCATAAAAACAGCGTAAGCATCTAAAAACTACATCCTATTGCACAGTTAAAGATTATGGTACAAAAACATAGATTAATGGTTAAAAGACAAATGGTATTGCATACAGATCAAGAAATAATAATAATAAAAAAAAGTAGCTTGTTCCGTCTTTAAGACATCAAATCTTTTCTTCTTTTTACAGAGCTTACATTAAACAAGCGTCACACAGCAAAGTAAGGGAGTGTTGATTGGTTGTCATCGCCTATTTAAGTTTAGAGACCGCTTTTTAATGGCGGTCGCAACAGACGCCGCTTGGAAACACTGATTTTTTTTTTTCTCTCTCCGTTGGTTCAAAGTGCACGTAGGGAGCAAAGTGGATCAGTTCGATTGATTGCTATTATGAGGTGGGGGGGGAAAAAAAAAAAAAAACTTTAGAAACCAACGAAGAAGAAAGATGAGTGAGAACGCTGCATAGCTGGATTCCATGTAAAGCAATGCCATCGGAAAGACACGAGGGAGCGAGACGGACCCAATTACTGTACAAGATCAGGTTCGGCGGATCATCGGCACTCCGTAGCATCCTTTTGGTGTTTCGGAGTAGAGCGGCCATTTTGTTTTTGCCGAGTTCTCTCCGCTGGTCTCATTCCGGGCAGAAGCTCTGAACTCACACCTGCGTGTCGCTTGGCTCGCTGGACAAGCCTCCACCTTGCAGATAGATGGCGGAAGTGGACTTGGGCCCGTTCTCGGTGTGACCCAGCCCTCGGGCCGAGCCGTTGTTGTTGAGCTCTGGGCCGCGGGTGTCTGTGGAGATGACCCATGTGGTGGGTCGCCACTTTTTAAGGGAGTAAGGTGTTTTAACACGCTTCTTGATTTTCTCTCCAGTCCCCGCGGCTGCGTCGGGTCTCACCAGGCCCTCCCCTACAAGAAAAAACAAAAACAATGACGATCAGTGAACAATAAACTATTTAATTAAAGAATCCCCACATCAATGGGGTGATGTGTTATCAATTTTGCACTAGAGAGATCTCATCCTCTCCTACAGTGAACCACGGTAGTGGCAGCGTCATGCTGAGGGGAGAATTTTCTTTGGCAGAGATATAGGAAATGGTCAAAAAATTAATAAATAATGGAAAAAAAAAGAAAAACTGGCATTTGAAGCCCACTTTTGTACCTAAAAATCTCAAAATTTGGGGTTTTCTTTCTAAATTTTGATCAAACCCGGGTTCTTACCTAAAGAGGCTAGATCTTGTGTGGTGAATGAAAGGTCGAGAGAGTTGGGTCTCTCCGGTCTGCGAACTCTGGGCTGCCTGAGCAGCGCCTCTCCTCTCATGGGGACCGTTGCGTCCCTCGGTGGGTCTGCTGGAACCGAGCAGAACCCAGAACTCTCGCCTGCCGTCTCCTTGCTTGTCCCCTCGGCGGCGCCCTCCTCCTCTCCCCCGTCGCTCTCCCCGCCGCTGTTGCCGTCCCCTTGGCCGTGCCCGGTGTTGCTGTTGTTGTTGTTGGTGTTGGGCCGGGCCGAACGGAGGCCGGCGACGCCCGTGGGTGCGGCTCCGCCGTCGGGCTGCTCTCGCTCCCGGCTCAGAAGGGGCTCGTGTTCGTCGGGGCTGGCGGTGATCACACCCAGGCTCAACCGGCCGTCGTCCGACCTCAGAGGCCCAGAGCCATTCGGGATAACACCCGTCCCCACAGACACTAAGGAGGACACCCCCCCGCTGGCGTGACCGTTGACAGTCCCGTTGACATGTGGGTCCCGTATCACAGGTATGTTGTTAGTCCCTGCTCCCGGCGGCGGCTCCACAGTAACGGAGCCTGTCGGGGCACCAATGTTCATCTTTGTTCCCTCCACCTGCCGCAGGTTGGACTTCCCCGAGCGTCCGAACTTAAACCTCAGCGAGGAGGACGACGACTCCTTCTTGCTGGGCTTGTTTCTCAGCGGCAGACTGGATGGCCTCTTTGGCAGATTCTGCTGCTTAGGGAGAGGAAAGATAGCAGTGGGCATAGCAGCAGAAGGCTCCGATACTCCTGAAGCCTCATTGGCCATCTTGATGAGGGGGTAGAGTAAGCTGGAACTCCCAGGACTCAGAGGGTCAGGTGAGCAGAACTGTTTCTGCGAGTGCTCCATCAGATTCTCGTCAGAGCTCTCCTTTAGGTTCTTATCCACCTCTTTGGGATCCAGCTTGGTGGTTTCCAGATCCTCCTGGGTCAGGTGTAGGCAAACGGGGACTGTGCCGGCCCCTACGGACCCTTCAGACTCTGAGATGATGGTAGTGGTAGTGGTGGAGGCGGATGGACTGCCTCTCAGGCCCATGCTGGTGCTGCTGCCCTCTGGGCTGGGCAAACGGGCGTTTGCTTGCTGCTGGCGCTCCTGGTTGATGGAATTCCTGTTCCTCTCTCCAATCCCCACTGAGACCCTGCCTGTTAAGGAAGCGGTGGTGTCCGCCTGCTGGTTCTTAGTAACACCCTCGTGCTCTTCGATGTAGCTAGAGGGGTGGTCTGCGTACGGGCCAGACTTGGGGGTCATGCGATTTCTGTCCGGGGAAATAAGAAGGAAGAGTTGAAGAACCAAAGGGAACAGCTGAACGACAGGATGGCTGCAGGTTTAAGCTAACCTCTCATTGTGCAGCGTGGTGGACATGGGGTTGAGGGTGGGACTGACGGACTTGGAGCGGTCCCATATAAGGAGCAGCTCGGCGAGTCGCTCCTCAGCGCACTGTGCCGTGAGACGTGCCTCTGCGTCCTGGTCCCAGCAGTCCTCCATCGTCTCCTTTAGAGAGCGAACCGCCTAAAAGACAAAGTGTGACATTTAGAGATTAAGGCCTTTCACTAATGCACAATGATGTGGTGTCCTTGTGCTGATGTTTGACTTATTAGCCCAACAAAACACACAAATGTCTTTACTTTCAGGAAGTCTACAAACTGTAGTTAAAAGCCTTCAGCTGATATAAAATGCTGCAGCCAGAGTTCTGATGAAAATTAAAAAGAGAGATCATATCTCTCCTATCCTGGCTTCTCTTCATTGGCTTCCTGTTAAATCCAGAATAGAATTTAAAATCCTCCTTCTCACATATAAAGCCTTAAATGGCCAAGCCCCATCTGATATCAGAGATCTGATTGTTCCTTATGCTCCTAACAGAGCACTTTGCTCTCAATCTGCAGGTTTACTAGTGGTTTCTAGAATTTCTAAAAGTAGAATGGGAGGCAGATCTTTTAGTGATCAGGCTCCTCTCCTGTGGAACCAACTATGCTAGCTTTGACTCCATCCTGGAGAGAAATATCAGCTGTGCTGCTGCCATCAACATCTTTGTTTATAGATGTTGGAGATCGGCCTGTTTTTCCAGTGTAGTCCTGTTTCTCTGACTGCGACTGGCTGGATCTGCTCTCTTTGTCCTCTGACATGGCAGCTGGTTGACCGTTGTCTTTTGTATCTCTGCTTCTGTCTCCTTGAACCCCAGTCTGCCTCAGCAGATGGCCGCTCACACTGAGCCTGGTTCTGCTGGAGGTTTCTTCCTGTTAAAAGGGAGTTTTTCCTCTCCACTGTCGCTACAAGCATGCCTGGTGTGAGGGATTGCATTCGAGTCAATGAGTCGATGCAATCAGCTGGTTTTCCTTAGATAGAAAACTCTGCATCAATCTAACTGTATGATCTGGTGAACTGTAAAGTGTCGAGAGATGACGTGTTGTGAACTGACGCTATAGAAATAAACTGAATTGAATGTTTTTGGGTGTGAAGCGACAATTTTTAGAATCAGAGTCTGCAATGTCCAATAATTCGTCTATGCAGAAACATACGCACCAAGCTGTTCTCCTTCCAGGCCTCTGGGAATTTGGGCCGCTGTTTCTCCCTGGATACCAGGACCTGCATGTCCTCAAACGTGGGGTGGTTTCCTGCCTCTGCCTGGAAGGCCATCTGGTAGTCTGGCACCGATTCTCCTACAGCCAGGCGAGGAAACGGGGAGGAAAGAAACGCATCCAAAACCGATCAGAATGGTTTTCTTTAGAAATAACCCTCCTGTCCGTAAATACCCATTATACCGCCTCTTTTGTGTCTCACCAGGGAAAAGGTCGGTGCATCTCATGAAGATCTCCCAGTAGACCAAACCCAGAGCGTACATGTCCACCTGCTTCAGTGCCGACTCACAGTCCCTCAGATTCACAGCACCTTCCAGCACTTCCGGGGCCATGTAGCGGATCGTCCCCACCTGTCAGAGGAGGAACATGTTAACAGATCAACATCATCAGCGGCGAAAGCAGGAGTTCTGGAGCCCACAGGTGGGTTTACGCTTTGAAAAGGTGGACAGACTTCAGCAATAAGCTTAGAGAAGCGACTGCTACTGTCCAGCAATCTGGGAAGAGTTATAAATACATCCTGCTAAATCTAAAGCCTGTATTAACAGGAGGAAAAAAGAGAGGTTGAAAGTCTCAAAAAACAATAACATGATGTGGGTTTGCATCTAAAATGAGACTCTTTTGCAGAGATGATGCGTAAATATCAGATATTTGAGCAGAAGCGAACATTTCCTCAACTCTGACTAATGGAGGCTGAGGAGCCACAGTCAGGAGTCAAAAAGTAAACAGGAAATGGAACTCCTGCAAACAACAGGCACACCCAGGAGGAAGAAATGTCAAGTACCGACATTATAGTTTTCCTTTTAGGCTGAGAAGAATAAATGGACCTGTGGTTCAACTCAGAGTTGTATGATGCTCATAGTTAGAGGTTAACCAAGTTAGGAATCTGTGTTGAGGCCAAAAAGAACAGAATACAATCTGGAGGATTTACACTGGGGTGGTGTGATCTAGCTTTATAGTTCTACACTTTAAAGTAAAAATCTGGATTTTATTGAAGTTTAATGGAAGAGAACAGATTTAAAATATCCAAAACTCCCCAAAACCTAAAGATTGATAAAATTTTGCATCTCATAACAAAATGTAAAAACCTGTCAAACTCTTATCCAATCAGTTAAGATCAGCTTCAATGATTAAACTGAATGAGGGTAGGTCACTAATGACAGAATAACAATTACCTCCACAGAATGAATAACATCTACAGCTTCTCCTGCTCGGTTATAAAAAAACTAATAATAATCAGTTATTTTGGTTATAATAAAAAGACAAAAAACAAATATTCAATAGGTTTAAAGAAACAATGTTTTTTTTTTTTTTTAACAAAGACTTTATTTTATCAGATCAATATTCAAAATCAATGATTCATACAATAAGCTAGAAACAACAATTTCCAATACAACCATACAAAAAATTGGGTAACAACAACCAAACAAGTCGGCGAGCTGAAGATCCATGTTATTTTTTTTTTCCTTTTTCTTTTTCTTCTTTATTATTATTATTATTATAGATTTTTTATTTATTTATTTATTATTATTATTTTTTTTACTTGGAGGATGAGATAAAGGAAAGATCTTTCTCGAGTGACTTTTATTTTTATCATAACAGAGATATATGTTAAGTATGCCTATAAAATATGTACTTGTATGTTTACATTTATCTTACTACCAAATTAGCTGGAAATAAGTCTTCAAACTTCCATCTTTTCTCAAATAGACCAGAAAAACAATGTTTTTATTTGACTTAAAAACCCTGAACTGCTGTATGCAGGCTTAAATTTCCAAAGAATACAATAACTGAATCATTTTTATTTATCTTTTGGATATAAATGAACAGAACTAATCAGAATGGACCCCAAATAAATTAGATAATAACATGATATTGGAGAACTGATTAGATCAATGAACTTTTTGCTAAAATAAAAGCTAGTTGTTAAGGTCAATTAGGACATAATTCCCCCTACTTCCTGTACGTTTTGGGGTTTTCATCTGTTAATCTATAATCATCAAAATTACCAGCAAGAAAAACTTAAAATATATTAGGTAAATTTTACTTTTTAAACTGAATTACTAAAAGTAATGATTTCTTTATTGTTGGACCAAAATGGCAGCTCCAAAACGAGGACTGCACGTGACTCATGCTGCATCTTCTACACTCAAAATAAACAAAATAACAAAAAAAAAAAAAAGGAAAACCCCAAAAAACGGACCTGCATTTTCAAACGGAGACGCTCCCTCTCCAAACAGTTCTCCTCTGTAGACGACTAGTGTAAACATCCTCCTGTCAAACGCTCACCTCACTTATAGCAGCATTCTCCTCCTCTCCATGGCGCGCCGGCCTGTTCCCCGTCAGTTTCATGGACAGACCGAAATCAATAACGACGCACGTCCCGTCAGCTTTGACCAGGATGTTCCTGCCATTCAGGTCCCGGTGGGAAACAGCAGGCTTGTACAAATCTACAGTGAGGAGATAGGATGGATTTTCTTTTCATCTAAAATTGTAATGATTCTTATTAGGAATAATCATCACTGTCAACTTCTACAGTAAATCTGTTCCGTTTGTGTCCAGCAGAGGGCACAGTGAAGCAGCTATCTGCTTCCTGCCTGTGATGTGAGGGAGGCGGTGGGGGAGGAAGACAACTGTACCAAAGCCTGGGAGATTCAGCTGTTAGCAGCTCCTCTCTCCTTTATCTGCTCATCACTCCAGCTTCCTCCCCTCTTCCCTCCATTAGCCCGACACTCTGGCTCTTTTTATTAGTTACCCATCTGCACAAACAGGCCATCATTGCACTTTTATCCCTTATCTGCGCTTGTTTGATGCGTATCTGTGCTGATTAAGAGACAACAGCTCTATCCAACTGCTGAGGCTGAGATTTTGTGACACAGGGAAGAGAGAGAATAAAAAAAAAGCTGAGACTTGTTCAGTTGTCCAATCAGCCTCTTGGGACACACATCTCCACACTCGCTAGCTTCATTTTAAACTGCGTCCCTTTTCATGCTTTTGTTGACGGAGGCAAGCTGGAGGCGAGTCTATAAATACCCCGGACTGGGCGTGCACACAGTGTGCGCCCAGTGTTTGTCAAAATACAAGGATACGAATTCTACAGGATAAACAGAGCCATGTGGAGCCATGGTATGCAGCACGTACAGCCGTGGTCACAGTTAGAACAACAGCTTTGAGGGCGGCTGGAGAAAATGCTCCCCTCCTTAAACTGCCTTTCGTTTTGCCACTTTGAAACCATAAACTTTGGGTATTTTGATGGGATTTAAACCCAGAGTACAGCAATAAAATATAATACACAGCTCTTACTACTACAGGAGAATTATTCTGTGAATATTGTGATGAGGACATCAGTTAGGAAATGTCATCCTATTTTATTTATCTGTGACATGTGTAACAATTTATGTGACCTTTAGCGTCTTGGGAACCATTATCTCTTCCAGGTGGGCATCATTTACCGAGATCAGATCAGTCAGGCTGAATATGTAACTGTCATACTCACTGTTGCCCTTTGCAATCGCAATTCTGCAAACAGACAACATATTTTCAACCCAGAACGGCTTTTGCAACTCAGCTTTTATTTCCCCTAACCCTCAATTCCGCCAAAAACATCAAAGCAGAATGAGAAACTAGAACCGTTCTCGCTCTTGCTGTAGGTATTAGTAGTACGCAGAGGACAGCCACTGCTGATCAGAAGCATCGACAAGCTGATCCAGACTTGATTGATGGTGCAATCTTTCTCATTGGCATTGATTAGGTAGAGATAGATAACTTGATTTAACCTTCTGGGATTTTAAACTACAGAAGGACGTTTTTGTTGAACCTCAAAGCTGAAACAAGTTCAAAATAAACCAGAGCTGTCAAACCTATATATGGGTGCTTCGAGTTTACCTCCTTTAAAGAGCTCCGTGTGCAGGTAAGCCAGGCCTCTGGTGACGGAGTGAGCTAACCGACAGCTGTTGACCCAGTCGTTGGTCTGGACATTTAGGTAGTGACTTAGAGAGCCCTGTGTAGCAGAAATTGGAGAAAAAAAAAAGTGTTAGCATCTCCTTAACATTTTCACTCTTATCACATTAAAACAAATTAATTAAAAAGTTTTTTAATGGGAAACTTTTAATTCTCCATCCCCACTGTGAAAAAACACGGTAACGGTAGCATCATGTTACGGGGAAGAGGCATAAATCCAGAGTAACAATGGAAGGATTTAGATTAGAGCAGAATAATCTGTTAAAAGGGCCTAGTCAGAGTCAACGCCTAAATCCAACTGATAATTTGTAAGACTTGAAAGTGTATATTTGGGCGTGCAGGTGGAGCAGTGGTTAACGCACACAACCAATGTACGGAGGCCTAAGTCCTGGATGCGGCCGACCCGAGTTCGAATCCGGCCTGTGGTCCTTCGCCGTATTTCTCTTCCCCCTCTCTCATACCCCTTTTCCTGTCAGCCTACTGTCAGAAAAACGAGCCACTAGGGCCATAAAAACTCAAAAAAAAAGAAAGTGTATATTCGTCTGGTACTAGCGTCAGTTTTCAGGACGCAGGAGCTGTTATGGGCCTTTCAGACCGGACGTCACGCCAGTACCCCTGAGTTTTAAAATCAATTATTTTTAGCGGCATACGCCATGCAAGGACATGAAAGCAAAGCGGCGTTTTGAGGAAAGCAAGAGCGCAGCCTATAAGAGCTCCTGCACACGCTGTGGTTCAACATCAACTTCAGTTCAACTTTAACAGCGTCGGCACAAGGTTGCATGTTCTATAGAAACCTTTTCATCAGGTGGGCGACTAGAGAGCAAACAGAGGAGAAGCTGTGTGTCTGATTTTTATTGATCCAGCACAGCCTCAAACACTGAGCGCCTACTATAACTGTTGAGCTTTAAACCCTGCGGTGAGTGTCTGAAAGGCCGTTAGCTGGTTCGCTGTCCCTGCAAACACACCCTGACCTCTGGCTCTACTGTGAGCCTTCTCGTCCCACATCAATGTCCGACCTCACAAATGTTCTCCTAGAAAAAAAAAAAAAATGATCCCACAAACTTAATCCTAATTAAAGAAGTAATAGACTGCACTTTAAGTCTTCAATATAAATTTGCGTGATCTACACCACTAATAATCATCTGATGTATTCTCAGCAGATGACCACTGCGGCTACGAGCAACCTCACGGTGAAAAGAAGATTTTAAAAGTAATTCCACATTTTCAAAGCTTATTCTGTGCCTCGACCTCGGTTGGGAGCAGCTCCATTCTTCCTGAAGGGGTACGTGAGGCGAATGTTTAATCACAAATCAGAAAAACTATTCAACAGACCCTGAGCAACATTCAGCTGTAAAAGCTGATGACGACTTAACAAAAAAACATGATTCTGGGTTTAAATAATTTCCTTCCTGAAAAAGTCCATTATTGTATACATCTCTAAATAATCACAATGCAGTCTTTGTATCTATTAGTAAAGAAAATAGCATTTAAAATGTAGAGTTTAGATAAATTAGCTAAATAATTCACTCCAACGCATTAGGCGTCCCCGTCTCCTGTCCTGACTTGCACTGAGTTGCCACGACGACGGGTATTAGACTAATGACTGTGAAAAGGAATGGGCTCCTTTTATTCAGCCGACCGGTATTAGCAGAGTTGTAATTAGCGTCGGGTTTGGACAGAAAACATTCGTCGAGAGTTCATTTAGCCATTTTGCAGCCGTCTGATAAAAGGTTGGTTATTTCGTTTTATATTCGGCGGCTGGTTCAGGGGACACAGTCTGCAGACATTCTTCTACGCTGTTTTCTGGCACTCCTGTAGGGCTTCATAATGAATGAATGAAAAGAACTGGTCGAACTGGTAACGCTTAAAAACACTGTGGAATCTGAGCCAAGCTACTAAACGCAGCTTCTTAAAGCTCAGTTTCTTTGATCTGTGTGTAAAAGTTAGAAAACTTTAAAATCTATAGAAAAAAAAACTATTTTTGATTCCCTTTTTTCAGACAAGATCCTCCTGTAAAATAAAACTGCTGTTAATTGTTAGAAGCAAA